TGTTCGTTGAAATCATTGTCCAAGCATTGTTGTCCCGGTCTCATTGGTGCTGGTGAGGATGATGGCGAGAATGACGACTCAAATGGCCTTTTTTCTCATTCACTACCCCGATCCAGAACTCCTACTCTTCCTCTTGTGCTTACAGAAGAAGAGCATGTCGCTAATTTTCTTGTATGGCTCTCCACTGCCCGCGCCAACCCGGTTCTCCGCAACATAGATGCAGCGGAATGCTCTTCTTCTGTTCTCCACATCACAGGTGCCGAGGAATGCTCTACTTCAGAAAGGAGCGAAGCAGATTATGTTGTCCTCCTGCCTCCTTCGCCTCATCCAGAAAACCCAGAACCCCACATCTCAACACAAACCCCTCCAAATGCGCATCAAATTTTTGAATGCAAGACTTGCCAAAAAGTATTTACCTCACCTCAAGCACTAGGCGGCCATCAGGCTAGCCATAAGAAAGTTAGGGGTTGTTTTGGCACTCGGCTTGAAATCAAGTCACCCAAGATGATGAAGTACACATCCACCAAAGACGAAAGCAATAATAGAATTCCTCAAAATAATCAAACTGAGTTTTCCCATCAAAATAATCAAGCTGGGGCTTCCTCCGAAAGTATGGCATTAGCAATTGCTCCATTTGAAGGTACCTCATCGCAGTTGTCATTGCCAAAGAAAAATCCCAAAGTACATGAATGCTCAGTTTGTAAACGGCAGTTTCCATCAGGCCAAGCACTTGGCGGGCACATGCGATGTCATAGGAGGGCATCAAGTTCCCGTGGCGTCACCGTTGAGTCAGCGAGCGTTGTTGCCACTGAGCTACAATTAGAGGAATGTGTTGGAACTGTAAATACAGAGCAGAGCTGAGAGAGGGAAGTTAAGATTGACATGATTCTTAGTCATTCATGAAATATAAATGAGAGAGAGGGTGGTTCTACATGGTTGCAGATGGATTGATAATCTTTGTAAATCTAAGCAGCGAGACTAAAGCTGATCAACCTCGCGTTAAAACTGATCATAATTCCAATTCTGATGTTATTGTTGTTTAGTTTTTAATTTTGCAGTCATGTGATCGCTTTAAGACTTTCTAAATTTATTTTATTATCTAGTGAATAAAGAAGATTATAATATTTTACTTAGTTCACATGGATTCACATTTCAATATACTTCGGAAGCACTTAAATTATCTTCTCAGATTCAAAATGTTTTTATGTGTCCTACATATTAGATTATCAATTTCATGTTACATTATTATTCTAATTATATTAAAAATGAGGAATACTCAGCGGGACCTATTATGTGCGCTTAAATGAGGAGGAAATAAGACTATGTTTGGGATAGCTTTCTTTATTGCTTTACTTTTTGGATCATATCATATTTTTCTATTTAGAGACAACGTGATTTTTTTTGTTGATTTTAAGAAAAACTTATTGAACTAAGAAAGTTGCTTTCTAAAATAACTTTAAACAATATTTTTTCTTATAGCAACTTTATAACAGTAGTAAATAAGTC